AACTTCACAACGAAGGATATTGGACTCCAGACAACGCAAGTTCAACTTCACGACGAAGGGACCGCTGGTTGTCAATAACCAACTTCTCAATTTCGGAGCCAATTTCAACTTCACAACGAAGGATATTGGACTCCAGACAACGCAAGTTCAACTTCACGACGAAGGGACCGCTGGTTGTCAACAAACAACTTCTCAATTTCAGAACCAATTTCAACTTCACAACGAAGGATATTGGACTCCAGACAACGCAAGTTCAACTTCACGACGAAGGGACCGCTGGTTGTCAATAACCAACTTCTCAATTTCGGAGCCAATTTCAACTTCACAGCGAAGGATATTGGACTCCAGACAACGCAAGTTCAACTTCATGACGAAGGGACCGCTGGTTGTCAACAAACAACTTCTCAATTTCAGAACCAATTTCAACTTCACAACGAAGGATATTGGACTCCAGACAACGCAAGTTCAACTTCACGACGAAGGGACCGCTGGTTGTCAATAAACAACTTCTCAATTTCAGAGCCAATTTCAACTTCACAACGAAGGATATTGGACTCCATGCAACACAAGTTCAACTTCACAACGAAGGGACCGCTGGTTGTCAATAAACAATTTTCCAGTTCCAGAGCCAATTTCAACTTCACGGCGGAGGATATTGGACTCGGAACAATACAACTTACTCAGATTTCAACTTCACGACGAATGATATCCAATTCGAGGCTCAACTTCACAACGAGAGGCCATCCATGGTTTCAACTTCACGACGAAGGGAATCGTGCCAACCAAAGACCTTCGAGTTCGACTACGCTCAGCTCCAAGGCATGTCATTTGCAGCACAACTTAAGTCTAGAAGGGTTGTCTGCCAACAAAAGACCTTTGAGTTCGACTACGCTCAGCTCAACGGCACATCATTTGCAGCATAGCTTAAGTCGAGAAGGGCTATCTGCCAAAGACCCCCGAGTTCGATTACACTCAGCTTCGAGGGCACATCATTTGCAGCATAACTTAAGTCGAGAAGGGTTATCTGCCAACCAAAGACCTTCGAGTTCGACTACGCTCAGCTCCAAGGCATGTCATTTGCAGCACAACTTAAGTCTAGAAGGGTTGTCTGCCAACAAAAGACCTTTGAGTTCGACTACGCTCAGCTCAACGGCACATCATTTGCAGCATAACTTAAGTCGAGAAGGGTTATATGCCAACCAAAGACCTTCGAGTTCGACTACGCTCAGTTCCAAGGCATATCATTTGCAGCACAACTTAAGTCTAGAAGGGTTGTCTGCCAACAAAAGACCTTTGAGTTCGACTACGCTCAGCTCAACGGCACATCGTTTGCAGTATAGCTTAAGTCGAGAAGGGCTATCTGCAAAAGACCCCCGAGTTCGATTCCACTCAGCTCCGAGGGCACATTATTTACAGCATAGCTCAAGGCGAGAAGGGCTATCTGTCAACAATTGTCTGCTCGAGGGCGTATCAATCACATGGTGTAGTCAATGAACTACTTTCCAGTCGAATATTTAAACCAAGGTCTTTAAACCGAGAAGAAGACCGAATTTGACTATAATTTGACAACGAGAAACCACATTTCGATTCAAATTTCGAACTACGACTTCAAGTCCACATCATTTCAAGATGGACTCGACTTCGCGACGGAGGAGCCATCTGCGACTTAATAACATGGAGTCATTTCATACTTCAATTCAGATTGACAAACCAGTCAGACACTGGATTTCAACTCTACGACAGAGGATATTCGATATGGACGAAATTTGTGTCTTTTAATCTTTGCTCTATTTTCGTTACACGATAATGAGCAAAGAGGGGCAGCTGAAGACATTTAATTTCGTCCACCGTTATTTATATAATATTATATTATATAATTATATACATATATATATACATATATTTACATTTTATTTCACAGGCCCAAGACCAAAGAGCCCAGCAGAAACCTGTGAGGTCCAACAGATCACACGTGACCCGAAGCCAACTTGGAGCCCCAAACCGAGTCCAAGTCCTCAACCCAAACTGATGCAAGGGTTCTAGAAGCTTTCTTATTCTGCGCCATTTTTCACGGCAGCACACCCCCAACGACCGGGCTTCTCGGTAACCACCAACGCCATTCAAGGAAAATAAACAACAAGCAACCAAGATATATTAGGACTCTATCTTGAATAGGATTCTAAAAATAGTGTTTGGTTTTTATTATAAATACATGTAATCGAACCATTCAAAAGGGGGGACGATTTGATGCACGAGAATATTACCTAGAGATTACCACGATAGCACACACACAAATCTTACGAGTATTCATTAGCGAAATACGAGCAAAGCAATCTCGGAGATCAACATTTTGTAATCGTTTCGAAGCAAAATAAAGGGTAAAAAAATCATATCTTCCTCGTTTTATCTTGCATGTGCATTTACTTCATCGTTTTGTTTCGAATAAAACCCAAAAATGGGTTCTTTGTCGAGGATCGGAGTGAGGGCAATCAAAATCTATTTTTTTAGATCTAGCCCTCCCGAGGTACATTCTTGAAAAACCAAGTGCGGATTTTAAAAGGAGTGGGGGTTACACCAAAAAATAGTTTCGAAAAATATCACAAAAAAAAAACAAAGAACATTCGAAACTAAAAAAAACAGAGGGGAACAAAGAAGCAAAGAAGAAATCAGAGAAGTTCTCACCTCGGATCGAAGAGGAAAGCCCGAAGTTAGCCGTATTTATTTTTCCTGAGAGAAGTGAAAGGGGAACGAAAAGTGAAAAAGGAGAACGACTTACCTCTCGGTCGCAACATATCCCCAACCAACTCAGAGAAGAAAATCTCAAAGCTGGATTGTGCAGTCTCGAGCTTTGTGAGGTTAGTGCCAGCTGTTAGCTTTTTTTAAATTGCTCCTTTAACTGGTTTTGTGCATGTTGTTAACATCTTTTATTGGACTACTTTATTAGTGGCATTAAATAATATTGTAATTATTTATCTTGTTATATGATTTCAATGTTCCTAAACGCATGGATTCAATTAACACTTGGAAAAGCCATTATTTTGGCCATTTTCTTTTGCGCGAGATTAAATAAATCCCATGGTTTTGAACATTGGGCAAATTCACCATATGGTCCTTTATTTATTATGGTTTTTATTTATTTATTTAGTTTATTTTATTACTTTTTTTCCTTTGGTTTATGTAGTATTTATTTAATATTTCTTATCTAATATTTTTTTTTATCAAAGGTAAGTAATTTGAATCGGGTTTTTAAATTCTAATTTTGTAATTAAAGACAACCGATAAATTAATTGGTACCGAAAGGGCAGTTCAAGGGTGCTAATCCTTCCTTGACCGTAACCGACTCCCGAACCCGACACATTTCTGGTACAACGCAGATCAGGTAAGATGGTGTCCGACCCACCTAAATTCGTTTTAAAGTGGTCGGTGGCGACTCCTAACCACATTTAATCCAAGTCGAAGCCCAATTCCGGGGCCCAACCGAAAGACGGTCGCGACAATTCTGTAGGTAAAGTTAAACGTTTCAGGATGAGCCCGTGATGAAATGTTGTGGTTGTATAAAAAATAATACTCCTAGTTTAAAAAAAATATTAAAAACATTAAACTAAAATAAACAGTTAAAAATATGAAAAATTAATCTGAAAAAATTATAAAATAATATTTATTCGAAATTTTTTAATCAATATTCAAATATTTTTATAGATATCACGTCCGAATTCAAATTCTTTAAGAATAATAAATCTTTATTAACCATCAAGGTACTTAGAGGTGTTTAAATAAACGAATTAATTCGGTTAACCGACCGAATCGAACTAGTTCGGTTAATTCGGTAACCTGTTCGGTTACCGAATTAGTTCGGTCGGTTAACGGTTAAAAAAATTTTTAGAATTCGGTTAACGGTTAATTCGGTTCGAATTCGGTTAATTAACCGAATTAACCGAAATTAAATTTTAAATATTAAATATATTATATATAACATATGAGTTCAACCCAAATCATTTAAAACCCAATTAATAATTTAAGATCTAATAACTTTTAAAATTATATCAATATTAATTAATTAAAAAATTATATAAATTTTTTATTTTATAATTATATATTATTTAAATTATTTGTAAACTGTTTTTTAATTAAAAAATATTAAATATATTATATATAACATATGGGCTAAGCCCAAACCATTTAAACCCCAATTAATAATTTAAGATCCAATAACTTTTAAACTTAAATCAATATTAATTAATTAAAAAATTTATCTAAAATTTTTATTTTATAATTATATATTATTTAAATTAATTATAAACTTTTTTTGAATTAAAAAATATTTAATTTTTATATAAATTAGAAAATTTTAAAAAAAAATCTGTTAATTCGAAATTAACCGAATTAACCGAAATTTATTCAGTTCGGTTAATATGTTCGAAAAAAATTCGGTTCGGTTAACTGTTAAAGAAAAAAAAAGTTTGATTAATTCGGTTATGGTTAATTCGGTTCGGTCAGCCACCATTTTAACCGAATGAACACCCCTAAAGGTACTTGATTCATATTACAATGTTATAACTTAAATCATAAAAATCTTGTCAATGTATTTATGTTTAATTTTTAGTAAATAAGAGTTTATTAAATGATTTAATAACTTAATATATATTATTCTTTTTTAAAATCAGAAATTTAGATGGTTATATATATAAAGTATATGTTCATTATCATTTATTAAGAAATACTATAAAATATAATGGATAAACCGACAGTACTTCTCTCTTAAACAAAAGACAATTAGATTGCCTGGAAAATGCCTTTAACGAGGAAGGAGTTGCTAAACCAAAGCCAATGGCCCCCCAAGGCCAAAACCGAGGGTGGCCTTATGAAGCCACGTGTCTCCTCCACGTAAAACCAACAACCATACAAAGCGGCTCAAACCAACACGCGCCACTCCCCAACGACATCCACACGCTCTTCAAGACAAGCAGAAACATATTTTTCAAACCCTCACCTCTACACTCACCACGAGGACCCCCTCACCGTCCGCCACGTACCCCTTCCTCAGTTCTCACTTCTCATCCACCCCCTTATATCACCGCCACCACCCTCCCACTGACCTCTCATCTTCACTCTCTGTAATACCCTTTCCCAACACTTCTTGATTCATCATCAAAACAAATCAGAGCCGTTCAACATGTCCATCAACGACCAAAACACGCCCATGACTCAGAAGCTTTACGAGTCAGCTCCTTCGTCTCGTCAAGTGGCAAAGTTCATGACCGCATCCACATTGGGTGCGACGCTGCTATTCTTGGCCGGGTTAACCTTGACCGGCACGGTGCTTGCCTTGATCATGGCAACGCCGTTGATCGTTATCTTCAGCCCTGTTCTAGTCCCGGCGGGGATAACCATACTCTTGATGGTAACCGGCTTCTTGTTTTCCGGTGGGTGTGTGGTGGCGGCGATAACGGCGTTGTCGTGGATGTACAATTACGTGCAGGGGAAACATCCGCTAGGAGCTGATCAACTTGATTATGCAAGGAATAAGCTCCTAGTACGGCTAGAGATATGACTGAGAAGGCTAAGGAATATGGACAATATGTGCAGCATAAAGCTCAAGAGGTTACACAAGGCCAAGGATCTTAAGAGTTGAAAGAGAAACTGTGGAGTTTTAGGGTTTAAAAATGTTGTGTTTTGTATTTTTGGTTTGTGTTTCTTTAATCGAATTTGCATGCATGCATTCGTAGATTATGCCCTTCTTTTTTGTAATTTGGAAAAGTTGGTTTTGAGCTGCAAGGACGGGTTCTCTTTGTAGCTTAGAATCTCTGGTTTTCTTTGTTAATAAAAATTTCTCTTTTGCTCAACAGTTGAGTTTCATGGTGAAAATGCTGAGTTTCATTATTTGCACAACAGCTTAGAATCTATGGTTTACAGGCATTGGCCTTGCAGGAATGCTATCAACTATAAGAACTCAAGTATTTCATCTTTTAATGTTATGGAATTTAATCTTCATATTTTTTTGTGTCCTTGTGGTTGTGCAATTACTTACAATTATCATTATCGTAGCCCCATATAGTATAACAGAGCCGAATCTTCAAGTTCACTTACAAAAGATGTAGGGATGAAGTTAAATACTCAAATTTGCAGGGGGAACGTAGCAGTTTCAGATGTACAAAATGGGCAGTAAAGACTTCAAGATAATTTTCATGTAAAATTTGCACGTCGATTTTCATTTTGCCTTTTCCAGTTTCTTCGATAGATTCATTTCCCCAGAGTAAATCATCACTCGTATTCTCGGGCTCGAAACACCCAACAGTGGACTTATATCGACCTGTTATCGGAACTACAAGTCCAAATAATGGCTTAAATTTCTGCAGGTTTCTTTATCCCTCAGTTTCATCATTGCTTTCATCTCAATCCTTCTTATCCACTCTTTGCTCACACAAAAAAGCCTTCCGATCTCCTCCAGTGACTTCGGGGGAGAGCCATTGAGCCCGTAACGTTCCAGTGACTTCGGGGGAGAGCCATTGAGCCCGTAACGTAGAACCACCACTTGCCTCTCTCTTTTTTCCAAACCATTCAAAAGAGCATGCATATCTTCCTTCATGTGCTGCCTCATCACAGTTTTCTCCGGCCTCCCTATTGACATATCTGGGATAAATTCCTGCGTCATCGTATACTCAACACGTATTTTCAATCAAACCATCTCCATCGATGCCATATCGAGCTCGCATGAAAGAATAAGAATGCAGATGCAGATTCTAGGAAGCAACGTAATGTAAAGTATTCCAAACACATCAGCCATCGCTTTGAAGCTAATATGCATTGATGCATTCCATCGATAACATTGATACATGTGGGGTTTTGAAAGAAATCTATTCAAACTGAGTTTTCTACACTTCATCAGTTTGCAAAGGGCCCGACCAAAAAGAATTTAGGTCACACAATTCTAACAGTAAGACTAAAGGATTTTCCACAAATAATCCAGGACACTGTAAAATTAACCCGAACAAGCTGATATGTAACGTTATAATATAAGGTCAAGAGAAACTAAGATCATTAACCACAATAAGTTAGGTTCTTTGGTACCATTGTTGATGCAAAGTAAACTTTGCATTTAACATAACCAAGAATGCAATCTTAAAAACAAGCAACAAGAGATAAAGTTTCAAAATCTCTCTCTTCCCCCCCCCCCTTTCTCACATTTAACAGATATCGCAGTTTCAGTGTTTCACCACCATTACCATCACAGGTATACCCAATTATTGCCACTATCTAGAAGAACAGTTTTAAGAGTTGAGATCTGACCTAAGTAATCGAGAAAAGGAACTCGACTCTCGAATGATATCAATGACACGAGCCCTTTATCCATAAAACTGACTAAACTTCACTGTCTTGCACTCTTGCTCTTAGAAGGCAAGAGAGGAAAGATGAAAATGAACAGAGAGAAATAATGACATACCAAATAGTTTTGCATTGATAAAATCTCCGATTTTCCGGTCAATTGAACCCACGACTCTGAAGCATTTATCAGCCGACCTGATTTTAGACAAAGAAACACACGTCATCTTGGCGATTTCTTCCTCTTCTGGGTATTTTGCGTGACTTTTGCTAAGGGCTTTCCGAGCTTTCTGTATCTGTCCTATTGCCCTGCTTAATGCGCACTAGAAAGAATAAAGACTTTCATTACCATGATATTTGCGCTACGAAATAATATACTAAAGAAGAGAAAGCTACATACAGGAACTTGGATCCCTCTAGCATGCCGTGCCACCATCCTCAAAATTGATTTCCTTATCCAGTATTGTATATAGGTAGCAAATTTATATCCCCTTGTGTGGTCAAACCTTTCTGCACCTTGTAGAACTCCTATACTTCCTGCCTGTCAAACAAAACAAAAAAACATGAACAATTGGTCGGGTAGAGAACAAACGAAAGAAAAGATATCCGGCTAATCATGGCATGATTTATTGCACTGTTCAAGATTTATGATTTGTACAAGAATTTGACAAAGATGATAAAATGTTCGATTATGTTCACTACCCTGCAAACTTTAGGGTTTACAGAGAACATGCTATTAAGAATCCCATTCAAGCCTTTTTTAAGTCTGAAGGATAAAAGTTAAGATAATAGGAAACATGAAAAGCAAGCATATCTGACATTAATCCATTAGATTGATTTCATATAAAATATGCTACAAATTAAGTTGAAATTTTATTTGTGAGAAAGCTAAATTAACATCATTTACTTTTATTTTTTACTTGCATGATATGTCAAATGTCCCATACACACCAGTGCTGCCTATGCAAATGGATTGAAACACCACAACTTGCACGGATATGCAGTATTAGACCCTAAAGTAATCCATCTTCCTAGGGAGATTCCATTAGGAAAACTTTCTTTCTGTTTATTGGTTATGCTCATGCATGACTACTTATCAATATAATTTGAGGGCATAAGACTAGTTCGCAACTTTAATTGGAAAAGCACATCAAAAGGATATTATATTATTATTTGGACCAACTTTACTAATCTATAAGAACTTCTGTATATATTTTAGACATCAACCCACCTTTCCCAACATAATATTTTCCACAAGAAAGTTCATCCTAATCTATTGACATTGTTGATTAGGTTCCAAAACATCAGAATTGTCAACATATACAAAGAAGTTATGCACCCGCATCATTATTCAGGCAAGATATGCGACAAAAGTTGCATATATATGGAACATGATTGGAAATAACTAAAATAATTATAGTATGTAAACAACCAAACATATTGAGGAAGTCAAGACTGACCTGGATTAAATATTCAAGGGCAATTCCCAGATCCCTATAGTTCCTTGCAAAGTAGAGGACTAAGGAGATTGTACTCCTTAGTAGCTCATCCCTGCAGCACCAACCATAATGCAAATGCTGTTTCAGCACCTTCTCCATATGTTTGGCTGCTTCTGCCCAGCAACTCATGCTCACAACTTTCCCAGTTTCCTCTTCCATAGTTGTTTTAATCCTCTACGAGTTTGCAACCGCCAGCTTAGGAAAGCATAGAGCAGTCAAAGGTTGACTTAAAATGCACGAGACAAAAAGAATGTACGTTCCATATACTAAGCTTCTAAGACAACCTTAACTCCCTTTCACATTTCTACTTCGTTTCTAGCAACTTTCGTTCCTAGAGTCCGACATTCTTTTGGGAGAAGAAACTTTGGGCTTCTGAAAGCGTACATGTAGGATGTTGGAAGGCAGCAATTGTGTAGAAATTTTAGTGGTTTCAAGTTTCAACCGCTTTTTCTCTTCTCTTTTTTCTTGAACGAATGATACTTTTATCCTTTTCAAAATCAACCAAGCCATTCATATTGCACTCTCCACTAAAGGAAACGACATCAGATAGGTCGAAAATATTCAAAGGTTTAGGAGTCCTAGAGAGACGGGTATTGAATCTAGTTGTAGTAGAATTTCCCTCTCCAATTTTAACACATTGAATCAACAAGTGTCTCCTCCAAAATTTTGAGATTTTCCATCAGCACACCATAACGTGATGTACTGCATTTCTGCAGGCTTGTACACGAGGAAGATTTGCTCCCTCCGATCTGTTCATTAGATTTAACAATCATAACACGTGAACAACTCTGTAAATGTGATCCCTTGTCAATCTTTACCTGTAAAAGAAAAAAAAAATCAAAATAGTATAAGATATTCGATGGTGTAATATAATGAAATGGACAATAAAGTATTGTGCAGCTTAGTAGATATGATTTGATATTCAACCACACACCTTCACTTCAACTTATAAGCAACCATTTTCTAAAGTTTGCGGAGCTCCAAAAGAAGTGTATGCTTTCAGAGGATCATTTGATAAAATCACACCTTCATCAGATATTACAGGGAGGAAAGACATCCTAGCTGAGTTAAAAGAAGCCTCCTTCCCTCTTACTGTGTTAAAGAAAGAACAATGGAAGTGAATAAAACAAAGGAAAGAAATAAAACAAAAATGACAACCCAAAGACAAACACTTGGTGATGTAAACTGGAATTCAATTGCACGGACTCCATAGCAAAAGCTCCTAATGAAATCGTTATCACCTATATGTATTTTTCGTCAGAATTCAACATTCATACCAACTTCAAAAGCAAATCATTATAAACTCAGAAAGTATAAGTCGTAACCTTGCGTGATAGTAATCATCATATTTTGAGAGAAAATAGTAATGGTGTAACACTTTAGATTATAACCTCAATTGAAAAGGAGATATTACTTCTAATTTTTAAGTACATAGACTAAATCTCGAGCTTTACCAAAGTATAGTGACTGATCATTTAACATTACAACAATGCAGCAATCCAAATCCAACTTGGTAGTTAACTAACACTTATACTATCACCTCAATCTAACCGAACTGAGGAATTCTAAAGGCTTATTAAACTTTCATTTTAAGTAAAACGCCAAGGATAGAGTGATTTGAAATCCATCGAACTCACCAGAAGAAGAAGAAGAAGAAGGGAGCCTGGAAGGTTAATTGACAAGGAAATGAGAAGAAACTGGGAGAGCACTCTTGAGATTCAGCCTGAAATCCATTGATTCCTAGTTTGCAAAACCAAAGTGTACTTTAATCTTCATGAAGTTGGAATAGTTTATAAAGATCGATGGCCAAAAATATAAATG